CTAATGATGGAATTAAGTGTTGTAAGGAACAAATAAAGTGAAATAGAGCCAAGGCAAATGATAGACAAATGATCATTTTGAATTACAAGAAAAGGCACATCAGCAAGATATACAATCCCGCTCCATATCTCTCACTCCCATCAGTATTTGCAAAATCAAATTTAAAAAGAAACAATGAAAAATTATAAATAGAAGTTGTAAATGATAACACAAAAATGAGAAAAAAAGCTAAAATAATTCCGGGAAAAAAAGAAAAAGAAAAAAGAAGAAGAAGCTCAAAGATCATGTCAAATAAGGATTGTCTACTTTCTTGATGAATAGCAAGCTGATGGTTCGTGGACACTAAAAACAATAGATCATGTCAAATAAATGATACTGGCATCATAACTAAATTCTCCACATAGGCATTTTCAATTAGAACTTCCATGACTAAATTCTCCACATAGGCATTTTCAATTAGTCCACAAGTTCTCTAAACGACGACTTGGACCCTCATTCGGGTAGCTTCCCAATAGAGTGATTGATAAAGTTCAGTAGCCTTACAAGTCTTCCACTGTCTTAGGCTAGATACATTACCAGGTAGCCATTAGAGACAACATATTTATGATTTCGCAAGTCAGCAACTCTCCAATCAACTTGGTTCTTACTATTGCACCTCCTCACAGTTTTTTATTCCATTATCAACCATGTCGATGGGCATTTCACTCAGCACCAATCACTTGCTAAATTAGAAGGCCATCGCCCTTCTAAAAGTCATTGAAATTACTAATGTAGACTTCAATAAGCATTATATCATATGTTTTCACCATCAAGTATATTAAGATCTTCCCCTCCAAAAATTCTGGTCTGATTACTGTAGCCAAATGATCCACTACTCACTAAAGTACAGTTTACTAAATCAGATAGCTTAGGTTTATTTATGCCCCAAATATAAAATAAATCCCAATTCAAGGGTGGTTACACATAATACATCAATCAAATCAATAAACTCAATTAGGTGGTTACAACTACAAGATGATTCCTAAACCTTCTAGATTTTCCTTAAGCACAGTTCCGAATTCTTAGATTCTTTCGACTTTTTAAGGCCCTGCTTTCTCTCTGGTCAGTTATCCCCTTTTCTCCCCTTCTTGAAAAGGGGCTACCCATAAAACACCCAAGGCTTTTCAACTCACTCCTTTCCATTTGATATGAATTAGTTATCAACTCAACAAAGTTCGAGGAAAAACAATAGCAGAGATTCGTCAATCACGCATTACAACAAAAACCCCTAGAGTAAGCAAAATCAAATCACAAATTCAAACAGTCCAAACTCGAAAATCAAGAAAACCAAATTCCAAACCGAATTCAACCACACCGAACTCGCAACGGATCCCCGATTCCCCGATTCCCAATAACACTATCAGAACCTGAATTCAAAGAAGACGAAGTCAAATTTCACCAAAATCGAAAATTACATTACGCAATAGAAACAAGAACCAAAACTTACAGAAACAGCAAAGAAACACAAACAAACTAACAACAAAAGCGAGAAATGAACACCGAAGCAAAAGCTCCAAAAACAAAAATCACAAGAATTAAGCAAGACACATCCACCAAAATAACTACTGAAAACTTCAGTAGAAGTTTCTAAACATCGCATTACGGAAACTGATGGTGGAGAAAGAAAGAAGATAGAGATCGGAGGAAGAAGAAAGCTCGTAAAATTGAGATGGAAAACCTTTGGTGAGAAGAAGCTAGGGTGAGAGGTAGTTGATGGTGCGCCGGCGGTGCCGGAGGTGGAGGAGGATGGGAGTGATAGAATTGCAAAAGCTCTTGAAGCTGACCGATGAGCTGCCTAAGCATGGCCAGGCCTTCCATGCCCAGAGAGCTCCCCTTCTCTCTCTTCCCTTTCTTCCGAGCTTTCTCTCTCTTCTTTCTTCCCTTTTTCCTGCTCTCTAAATTAACCTCTTTCTGGGGTGTTTTTTTCTCCTTTGCATTTGATCAACCAATCACATGTCGCCACGTCATCCGGCCCACATGATTTTTCCATGAATGTACTGAACCCGCACGCATCTTTCATTTCCCCCCTCCGTTAACCAAATCCTTTTATTTATTTATTTTTTTTTTCCTTTTTTCATTTTCTTTTTCACTCGTCTTTTCTTTCCTTCTTCCCATTTTACCCCTCCAATTTTTCTTCTTACTCGACGGTTCGGTTCAACCGAACCGTTAAATTTAAGTCAAATAACTGTATTTCAACTAGTCATTAATTTTTAAAAAATTAAATTAAGTTAAAGTATATGATACTTAATAATTTGATAGCTACTATTGTAATAACACAACACAATACCTCTTAATTTTTTTTTTTGTTATTTATTCATATTAACTATTTTTAATTGTTATATTTAATAATTATTCAAATATATTAATGTCAACACAGATTTAAAAATATTATAAAAACTGGTTTGAATTAGGCTTAATTATAGTCAGCTATTTTTAATCATTATTTTTTTTAAAAAAAAAAAATATAGTATTTGTATATTTAATTTGAGGAGGAGGAGGGGGCGGTTGGAGCAGACCGGGTTAAGAAAAGGGTAAAAGAGTAAAAAGAAATGGGGAATTAATGATGTAGATTCCAGGTGGGGGCAAAAAAGGAAATTGGAAAAGTGGAACAACATGAATCCACGTGTGTGTGGAGAGAGAAGGGATCGGATGGTGATGAGAAGACGGTAGATGAGGAAGATGAACGGGTGAGATAAAATCAATCAATCATAAATATATATATATATTTTTTTTAAGAAAAAAGGCACACGGCACTGAGTGGCCCACCAGGTAGGTTTTATTATTATTATTATTATTATTATTATTTATTTTATTTTTATTTTTTATTTAATGGGGAAAAAATGAAATAGAGAAATGATGATTTTGTTAAAATTACGGAAGTACCAAACCAAGTTGACGGACCCCGTCCCGCTCTCTCTTTTTTCCTACTCATTCCTCATTATGCTCATTATTACCCCTTCCAATTATTATATTTCTTTTTTTCTTTTCTTTTTAAATTAAAATCATCCCACCCATTTCATCTACACTTTCTCTAATTTACCAAATAATTATATTTTTACCAAATTACAAAAATACCCTTCCATTTTATGAAGTTGATGCAATTTTTTAAATTACAGAAACTATTTATTTACAACAAAGATGAATGAAATTAATAAAATAAGCTATAGGGGTAAAATTGTAATTTTAAAAAAAATAACATTAACATTATATATTAATTAAAATTTTAATTTTTAAAGGATGGGAAGCTCAAGCACATAATTGAAGATCATGTTAAATAATAAAGAAAAATAGAGAAAAAAAATTATTAAAAAAATCATTATTTTGTTTAAGATAAATATTTAGAAATAAAATTTAAAAAATAAAAAATAATTTTAATATTACATGAGAGCTATTAATAATTTATTTTAGGGTTTTTACCGATATAAGTGGGACCAAAATAAAGGAGAAAAAAAAGACCTCTCTCATTCAATAAAAATATAAAGTAAAATGTACTTTTTTTTTCTTCGCCTTTTTACTCTCAAGTTTGAAATACAAAATAAAACAAGACAAGTTTATTGACTTGTTGACTAGGGCTATTCCCTTTTGACCCACTCAAATGAATCCAAATCATTAATTTTCCTTTTTTTTAATCAATAAATAAATAAAATTTTCAATTAATTTATTGAAATTTCTCGACCATTTAAATATTTAGAACTTTTTATGTGATGTCCTCCTAGGGACGAGAACAAATCATCATTTATAAGGGTCTGGAAACTTTTCCCGCTTTGAGGGGAAGCCTGAAAGAAAAAACACAAAAATGACCATATTTGAAAGCGGTGGATTTGGGTCGTTACATATTATATCTTCAATATCACTCTCGTTCTAATGAGAAGTTCTCGATTAAACAAAAATCTTGAATGTATCATAAATCCCGAGAGCTTAGCAGATTTGGAATTGACTCGAAATGCTTCATACCCAATTAATGTAAGACTTATATTCGCATCAAAATAACATAAAAAGTTGGAAACCAGCTTTAAGAAAAAGTAAAGCCCCAAGCTTTTTTTTGCCCTAACTTGTAAGTATGTGCTTCGTAGCTACCAATTTTCCCTTACCTAATAAACGGTTAGAATTTAACTCTCAACCTCCATTCATTTTTTTAAAAATATTATTTTATATATTATATATTATTATTATTATTATTATTATTTTGGAAGCAAATACAGCCTAAAGTTGTTGGGTAAATCATGCGACAAACCCTACTTAATGACGTGGCAAAATAATAATAATATTTATTGGGGGACAAATTTTAATTTTAGTATTTTGAGTTTCTTTCATTAAAATTTTTTTACTTTAATTAAATTTCACACGTTTTTGTAACCGTATAACAAAAAAACAAAACCGACCTTAAACTAACTTTGACTTTACAACGTATTTTCGGCATGTTTTTTACTTTTAGTTGAATATTAAAATGTATAACTTAATTTTTGGCATCTTCTTACTTTTAGTCGAGTATTAAAAATATTTAATAAATGATATTTTATTTTTCTTAAATATGATTTACTCGAATTAAATTGTAATAAAAATATTGATTGGGGACAAATTTTAATTTTATTATTTTGAGTTTCTTTCCTTAAAAAAAAATTATTTTTCGTTTTTGTCAATTTTGTCCCTATAATTTGAAAAATTTTCGCTTTTTATCCCATATTTTAATTAAATAACAAAAAAATAAAACGGATTTTACCCTGACTCTGACTTTATAACGTATTTTTCAGCATGTTTTTACTTTTCGTCGAGTATTCAAACGTATAATGTATTTTCGGCATGCTTTTACTTTTAGTTGAATACTGAAACGTATAATGTATTTTTGGTATGTTTTTACTTTTAGTCAAGTATTGAAACGTATAACGTATTTTCGGCATATTTTTACTTTTAGTCAAGTATTGAAACGTATAACGTATTTTTCGACATGTTTTTACTTTTAGTTGAGTACTCAAACGGATAACATATTTTTCGGCATGTTTTTACTTTTAGTTAAGTATTGAACTGTATAACGTATTTTACGGTATGTTTTTACTTTTAGTTGAATACTGAAATGTGTAAAGTATTTTTCGGTATATTTTTTACTTTTAGTCGAGTATTAAAAATATTTTATAAATGGGACATACTAAAATATGAATTGTAGTACGAAATTATCTTATATTAGTAATAATAAAAATATTTATTGGGGGACAATTTTTAATTTTATTATTTTGAGTTTTTTTTCGTAATAAAATTTATTTTCCGTTCTCTCAATTTTATCCCTATAATTTGAAAATTTCACATTCTATCCTATACTTTAATTAAATTTCACGCGTTTTTGTAACCGAATAGCAAAAATACAAAACGGACCGTAAGCTCACTTTGACTTTATAACGTATTTTCGGCATGTTCTTACTTTTAGTTAAGTATTGAAACGTATAACGTATCTTCGGCATGTTCTTACTTTTAGTTAAGTATTGAAACGTATAACGTATCTTCGGCATGTTCTTACTTTTAGTTAAGTATTGAAACGTATAACGTATTTTCGGCATGCTCTTACTTTTAGTTGAGTATTGAAACGTATAATGTATTTTCGGCATGTTCTTCCTTTTAGTTGAATATTGAAACGTATAATGTATTTTCGGCATGTTTTTACTTTTAGTCGAGTATTAAAAATATTTAATAAATATATGAATTAGGTAATGAAATCTCTAAATGAGTAATAATAAAAATTGGAAAAATTGGAAAAAATGAGAAGGGCAGGGAAGGTAAAAAAATGGAAAAAGTAGGGGTAAAATAGGAAAGAAAGAGGTGATGATGAGAAATATAGGAAAAAGAAAAGTAGAGAGAAGAGGTTTAAAGAGAAAGAAAAAGGAAAAATTGAATGATTAGGTTTGGCAAAACCAAGGAAGGGATGGGGATGATGTTGAGGTGGGTAATGATTTCTCTTGTCTAGGGAGGAGAGAGAAACAGATACCCTTTTACTAATTCTTTTTTTTTTTTTCCTTCTAGAGAGAGAAAGGGTATTTTGGTAATTTACTACCTAGGAATGATGACTCATCATGATGGAGGAGGGTTTGGATGATCATTATGAGAATTTGGCTCGCTTTGCTTTAAACTTTGCTCGTGTGTTCAATCCTTAGGTTGAAAGGAGAACGAAACATTCTTTATAAGAGTGTAAAAACCTTCTCTAGCATACACATTTTAAGAATCTTGAAGAGAAATTTGAAAGAAAAAGCCGAAAGAGGACAATATTTGTTAACGTTAGATTTGGGTTGTTACAAATGATATAAGAGTCAGACACTAAGCGATGTGTTAGTGAGAAGGTTAAGCTTCAAAGGGGAGTAGACATGAGGTAGAGTGTCAACAAGAACGTTGGGTCTCGAAGGGAGGTGGATTGGGGGGTCCCACATCGATCGAATAGAGAAGGGAACCACTGCGAACGAGGACGCGAAATCCCACATGAATTAGGGAGAAAAACAAAACTTTTTTTATAAGGGTGTGTAAACCTCTTCCTACCATACCCATTTTAAAAAACCTTTCGTAAACAATTGCAAAATAAAAGAAAAATAAAAAAAAAAAGACAAGAAAAGGGAAAAAAAAACAATTTATTGGAACAAATAATGGGCCTGGGCTTGTGATGTCGGCCCAGAATACCGCGTTTACATAGAAATATAGAGAATTTTGCATTTTATTTTATTTTTTAAATATGAGTTTCATAAAATAAGGATTAATTACGTAATTTTCCATTTTAAATTTATTTTTCTTCCTTAAAACACAAAAAGAAAGACAAGAAATAGGTTATTAAAGACAATAAATCCCATTATTAGATTACACTCATTCAATAATAGAGAAAAAAAAAAAAAAAGAATTAATAATAATCACACAAATCTATTAAATGGCTTCCTTCCAACCCCAGCAGGCAAGGAAGCAGTAGAATCCAAGCTCAAATTGCTGAAAGATTGCAAAGATTGGATTTTGTTCAAACCCATTTGAGCATTCTTATCACCAGAATCCTTCTTTGAATTTGTGAACAAATTGGGTTTGTTCCATTTGAAAGGAAATGAAAGCCTTGTTTTGGAATGAGTATCAAGTGGCGGCGGAGTGGCGCAGCCTCTTAGCTTGGCTTTGGCTGAAACTGTTGGTGTCATGTACCGTGGGACTGTGAAAGGAGGGCAGCTCGTGAGGCTTTCATCATCTTTGAGTGCTACATCATATGGTGAACAACAATCAGCTCCATTCATGCTGCCTTTTTGTCTCGAATACCATCTCGAGCTTCCACCCGGTGGCGTTCGGAACGCCACCGGGGAGTTTCGTGTCGGTTTCGGGAGGATTGGATGGTGTTTGCTTGGAGTTTGAGGTGCTTGGAGGAAGTTTTGTAGGGTTTGGGGCTCTGATGGAGCGGTTGACGGTGGTAGCTGCCGGTCTAGCCAGTTCCACCACCGTGGATATCCAGCAGCTCTTATGTCTGCCATGACTGCTTGAGCTGAATTTGGACTGGCCTTCCACAGCTACAATGGAAATTACTCAATTTTCAATACAAATTGAGTGAAAAATAAGGTAGTTTTGAGGGTAATTTTGTAAAGAACCTGATGGGAATAAGCATAAGCCATGGCTCTCTCCCTTTTCATTATGGCTTCAGCTTTTCTTTGCAATCTTGCTTCTATTTCTTCTCTTGTAAGTAAGCTATCATCCCAATCTTCTTGGTTAGCTGCCTCAGACTGTATGTTTACATTCTTCCATTGTTAGTTTTAAAATTGAATCTAAAAGCTTGTTAGCCGAAATGTATTTGGTATTGACTAAAACCGACACGAAACCAAAAAGATGTGTAATAGGTCAACTCTATTTGGTATTGACTAAAACTGACCCGGAACCAAAAGGATGTATAATAGGTCAATTTTACTTGGTATTGACCAAAACCGACACAAAACCAAAAGAATTTATAATAAGTCAATTCTATTTGGCATTGACCAAAACCGACAACCAAAAGAATGAGTAATAGGTCAACTCTACTTGGTATTGACCAAAACTGACACAAAACCAAAAGGATGCATAATAGGTCAATTCTTCATGGTATTGACCAAAAATCAACTCAAAACCAAAAGGATGTGTAATACTCAAACTAATCAACCAACTCGACTAGTTTGGTTGATACCCCGTTAAAATCAGTACGAAACTCAAAAACTCAACTCTATTTTCACGCTAGGGTTATTCGAATCTTCCTCGGTTCATTCTTCTACACATCTGAACGAAAACAACAAGTAAATCGAAACAATTCGAAAAATGAATGAATGAATAAACTCACAAGTTGAGTGAAGCCCGGTTTGGTGCCGAAGGCAATGTCGAGGTCGTTGTGGTTAGGGCCGTGATGCTGGCGAGCTTGAGTGTCAAGCATTTGAATCCTTCGAGACTGAATCTGAGACTGAACCCTAACCAACAGCTGCATTTGCTTCATTGCATTCATTGTTTGCCTCTTCACATTTTGTCCTCTCACCACTCCTTGAAGCCTCACCAACCCCTTCAAAGCTCTAAAGCTCCTCCTTGCCTATAATAATACCAACCAACAACACCACCAATCCGGTAAATTCGAACGTAACTTACTTTAACGATGATTTAAGTTAAAGAAGAACTTACGACGTAGCCTCTGTATGCAGCTTGGATTTTAGTTGCAGATGCATGATGGTATCGGAGAGTGGGTTCGGGTCGAAAGCGGAAGGTCTTAGAGCGGTTTTTGACGGTTGAAGAAGCGACTCTAGGAGGGGAGACGAGCGGAGAGGGTCGTCGAGAAGAGGAGAGTCTTGGAGAAGCATTTCTAGGGGTAACAAAGGGAGGGGTTGGTGGTGAGGAAGGCCTAAATGTTACTCTTTGTTGCTCTCTTTCAAAGTCCAAGAAGATCTTCTCAACACTACTTGGCTCCCTAAACAAGGGAATCAAGGAATTGGACTCTCCATGCCTTAGCTTTCCAACTCCCTTATTGCTCCTCTTCTCAAATTCCTGCTCCATTAAAATGTTGAAAATTTAAACATAATATTTTTTATTTTTTTTAAAAAATATAAGGATTTTATTTATTTATTTATTAATTTAGCGGAAAAAAAAAAAAAAAAAAAAAAAAAAAAAAAAAAAAAAAAAAAAGATCAACGTACATTTGGTGGCTTTTCCTTAGAGTTGGGTGTAAAAACCCTCTTTATGGCAGCAATCCATCTTCCTTTTTTACCCATGGGCCTAGCATTACTTTTTAACCCTACAGTACAAATTCACAATAATAAGAATATATATATAATTTTAATTTTAATTATTTTTTTAAATTATAATTTTGAATATTAGAATTAATTCTTATGCTTGATAAAATTCTCATAAATATAAAAATTTAAGGTTATTATTTTTTGGTTATAAAAAAATAAAAAAATATATTTGGATAATAGTGATTAGAAGGAACGATTCATAAATATAAATCCCAAATCAAAAAATTCTATGGAATAATGAAAGACAGAAAAATCGTTCGAATTGCATCATATTAGTCGATTATATTTATATTGACAATTTCAAAAAACTATTCATACTATGATCATAGTATAATGGCAGTCGGGCAAGTATGCCCCCATCGTCTAGTGGTTCAGGACATCTCTCTTTCAAGGAGGCAGCGGGGATTCGACTTCCCCTGGGGTAGGGTACTACGAAAGGAAGTTGATCATGGATTATCAATAAGCTTGGAATTGATTCTTCCCGGGTCGATGCCCGAGCAGTTAATGGGAACGGACTGTAAATTCGTTGGCAATATGTCTACGCTGGTTATTTAATTTCTATTCTCTTAAAATTATATATATATATATATATATATATATATATATATATATATATATATATATATATATATATATATATATATATTTTAATTTACACCGGAAAAGTTTAGTAGGGTGTTCGTACTCAACCCAGACCATAAAAACTAGGTTGAGTTGTTCATATTGGGTTTGATAGAATTTTTGAAATACTGAGAATCTTGGTCGGTTTACAAGTTGACATTTTTTTAGTTGGGTTAGTTCGACCCACTTGACAATAAAGTTACAACCCAACTCTACTTTATTCTGCATTTCAAATTATTATGAAAATTAAGAATATTCAACGTTTGTAATTGATGTCAGTGATGTACTGTGACTTGTACATAATCCGTATACATGTAAGTGAATAATTTGAATTTTTTAAATAACTAAAAAAAGAAAGAATAACCCGATATCCAATTAACTCAACCCAATTCAATTCGAAAAGATGATCGGTATACACCTCTACCCTTTAGAATCCAAAAATATTGATGAAGATATCAAAACTTTAAATATTTTTACGAACAAAAAAAAGACCCTACGAAGATTTAGATCTTTCATTTATAGAAATCGATGAAGAAAAACACAAAGATTGAACAAAATATAGATAAAAAAGCTATAAATTTGTACCTCAAAAGAAAGGTTGGATGGACGAAGAACAAGAGAGGGAAGAACAGTTCTTAATCTCTCTCATCTTTCTCTCTCTAACTTCATATCTTCAAACCAAAATGTTGTTGAAATCTGTTTGTGAATTAAAGAAAACAACTTTAGATCTGTGTTTGGTGTATGAAATTTAGCCTTCTTTTTCTTTTCACTCCCAACCTTTCACCTTTTCAAGCGTTTTATAAACAAACAAACAACAGACTTCGCCATTTTCTTACTCAATCCTACCAACTTTACTTCAATGGTAAGAATAATTCATCATCATAATCTATCCTTCCTTTTTTTATATCATTATTTTTCATTTTTAATCACAAAATCGGGAAATTGAAATAGTTTCGTAATAGCCCAACCCCACCGCTACCACCCTCAACGTTTTTAAAACTCGTTTGCTAGGGAAAGACTTCCACGTTCTTATAAACAATGTCTCGTTCTAATAGATATCTCATCGGTTGAGTTATCGGAGTCTTTAATTATATTGGGTTTTTTTTATTCATTTTGATCAATTTAAGTCGGTCGGACTCATCGAACTATAGTCGGGAAAACTTTGACTTTTTTGGTCCAGAATTGAGAGTTTGACTTGCTTTAGGGTTCTTCACAATTTTTTTTTTTAATGAGGATTAAAATAGAATTAAATATATAATTAGTTTTTAGTACAATATATGCAAAAATGAAGGTACCTAAAAGATATAATTTAACTCCAATATAATAAAGTATTAGTTCAAATTTATTTTTTTCAAAAAATTAATTTATTAACAAGGCGTTTAATCGTGTACGGGCATGTGCTGCTAGGATTACTATTACTCCACGTTTGTCAGAATCTTATTGG